TTGTCAACCATTAGATTTAAAAAAAAAAAAACATTGATATAATATAATTTCGGAGAATATACTTTTCATAATACGACAGAATCGCTATGCATCAGAGTGAGAAAACAATACATATGTTCTGTCCTCTTTCCGCTATACTGTTCAGTCAACCGTGAAAATTTATGACTTCTTCGGTTTCACGGACCTCTCACTCCTTCTCGGATCTCTCACTCGGCGGCGGACTTCAATCAAAGAAGTGGAGATAAAAATTTGCTAATTTCGAGGCTCGAAACTGTTGCTTGTTTCGAGGCAATACTGTAATACGCCGAACTGTCGCTGTTCGTGGATTTTTGGCGAAAAAACAAGTCTGTGTGCACCAACATCCTCTATATTCGACTTGTCTTCATGCCTTTACTTCCTTTTTTCAAAACTGAAATTAACTATAAAAGGAACGTTTTATGACACTGTTACACAAATCCAAGCAGCTGTGACAAGGGTGATTGAAGCGATTAAGGGTAATTGAACCAATTCCGCAAAACGACATAAAAAATCTATATTAACATTGCTTGAGCGTGCCCAACGGTGTATTGTTGCGGTAGGGATGTATTTCGAATAAAAAAAATTAATATTGGCAAAATAACTAATTCTTTTCTTTTTATTTAAAAAGTTCCGTTATTTTTCCGACATACTGTGTATGTGAAAATAACTCCCACAGTTGAGAGTGAAAAATATATATTTAGTTGTATATCTCGAAAACTATTAGAGCTAGAAGAATGATGCAAATCATAAAGTTATGTATTTGAAATGACTGGGACACCTTGTATTTTACATACAAGAAACATGGCATGTTAGCAGTACATGATAGCCGTACAAATTTTCATAATTTAGTTACGATATTTTGAAGCTATTCGAAAATTAAACAATATTTATAAATTATTACCTTTTTCGAGAGGAGCCCTTTTGTACTTCTCCAGTCTTTTCACCGCGATGGCTTCCAGTCGAATTCTAGCAGCAGGATATTCCTTCAACACATCCCACATATCCTTCTTACTGAGGACGAATAGATCCGAGTAACCCACTGAGCGTACGCTGGCTGTTCGTCGGTTACCTGTAGCGATGTAGCCATTTATTGGTTATCAAGATATATCAAGCTTTCATTTGTATCCGATCGTTTCTTGATCTTACAGACTCATATCGTGTGGGTATAAATCTTATAATAAGATGTATCTTTGTTTTTGCAATCAAATATAATTTTTATTTCTTTACCGTAAAGTTCATGCTTGATAAATTAGCATATTGATTAACAGCTACGTGAAATGTTTATTGTGTGAGTGTGTTTAAATAGAGTGGAATATATCTACTTCAATAGGAATTCCAAAAAAAATAATACACTTGTAGAAAACAAATTTTACAATCAAAATTTGATAAAATACTTGCATTGCAGTTTACATAATCATATATGCATATTTCAGATTTTTTAAAAATAGGTTATAACGTAAATCTATTTAAAATCATACAGGATATTAAATTGTCAATCAATAGCAAAATATGAAATCTTTGTTCGTGAAACACAGGAGGGATATTATACACCCTGTATCATAATATGTGAGACTCACTTTAAAAGTGGAAAGGAGATGAAAGCAACGAAATGGTTCATATAAACGTGTGTTATACTTGATTTTGTTTCAGAATTATAGATATACATTTTTATGTTTTAATAATATGCATTTTATACTACTTATCTGTATAAAATGCACTGGAAATAGCTTCGCTTGATTTGCATCTATAAACAATTTTATACCTTATGAATCTTCTTAACCTCATTGATTTCGTACATCTTATCGGTTGAGTTTACTCAATTCAGTTTTTTTACTAGAAACGCTAAATAATTCTGTAATTTATTCTGTGAGATATTGAGTGCTTTTAACGAGCGAACAAACGATCAATTTGTGCATCTTCTATCACAACTTTTTCATTTTATTTGAGTATCCTGTCCATTTCTGAAGTACGTCCCACATTTTTATGATACACTGTATATGAATACAGTCACTTCAGTATTTATGTGGACCTTGAAATTTTTAAAAAATTTTTATTCTTCTTGCCTACAATTTAATATTAAAAAAATATTTACAATTCTTTGAAAATATTTTTCAAAAGCAAGGTGAAACAAAACAAGTTTTGCACATTACCTAGAAAATTAAAAACTGTATTTGTGATCAAATAGTAAATTTCAGATTGTTGAAATGGAAAAAAACATTTCTTGTACATATTTGTTATAAAAGTTGTATGTTTTTCTATTATATCTAAATAAATATCTGAAGCATGTACAAATATATAAATTAAGCTGCAATTTGCAACTAATAGCACCAGAAAGTTATTCAGAAAAATTACTCGAAACAAGATATAAAAAAAACCTTGGAAAAATTAAAAAATCATTTTTTACTATCAGTCTTAAACATACCGGTATTAATTTATAATATTATGAATGTTTAGATGTATCTATATAATTATAAAAATGGAAAGATACTTATTTTGCATTAATTTCCCAGATTGCTTATTATGTAGATAGTTATAAGGTAGATTTTTTTTAGCTGAGAAGGGACATAATTTTGCAGAGGATAAGACGATGTTACAGACATATTCATAATAGGAAAAATATTAAGTTTTTGTACAGTAAGATTATTTTTTTCCTGTTTACATCATTGCTACAATGTCAATTTAAATGCCTACGTGACTGTATATATACAATATTATAATATTTTGTTGTATTGAAAAAGTTAAATAACAGACTTTATTAACACAGAAACAAGGATTATTAATATAAATAGAAAAAATTTAATTTATACATTTAATAGGCGTGAAGACTGAGTACTTTTTATTCAGACTAAAGTATAAAGAATAAATCACAAACAACTGTTCAAAAATTCTCAACGAAGATGTTATTTATAATTTCATTTAGTTGACTAAAAGCCCTCGTCAAAGCGGCTATTTGTTATTGTTACAAGTATGATTTTGTACTTGTTAGTTATTTATAAGATTTTTGTATTTTTATGTTTGCAATACGTGTTAGTACAGAAGCAGAGTTGTAAACGGAGACAAAGACTAACTATACCTGCTTTGCGTTAGACTACAATAACACATGTAATTAAACGTCGATTAAATATGTAATGCCTTGTGATTAAGAATAAACGATAAATGTTAATAACAATGTTATATTTATTCTAACAGTTATATGGGATGAATATATGTATATAGAATAAAATCTTAAGAATTTTAAGCATCATTTTAAGAATTGTAAAAGTGTATCTATTGTTTTATGCGATGTTTATGTCAGCTTTATTATGTACAGCTTTGTTTTTGAGAAAAATTGATTTAAAAATTTGTCGAAAAATTTGTACGCGTGCACTTTCGGCAGATTTCGCTGTAAACTACTGCTGTATGTAGGAGTGTAGAATGTATATGTATAAAATGGCAACCACTGCGAAACTGCGTGTATGAATGTTAACTTACTGAAAGGAACAGTGTGAAATAGGTTGTGTAAATAAAATATGAAATACGTCATGAACGAGCTGAAAAGATTAGATTAGGTCATGGACACTGAATCCTCCTGTGATTCAGCTCCATGAGTAATTCGGCAAACCCTAGACTCCGGAGTCATCCCTATGACTAAGAATGGCCCTTGGACCTGGTATAAGGAAGGAGCCTTCTCTCCTATTGTATATAAGGCCCTGCATCTTTGCGCGGGCAGAACTTAACGTCTAAAAATAGATTAATCGATATATCAACAGCGTAACAATCCGGCAACGATGCCTTCGGGTCGATGCCTTCGGGTCGATGGCTCTCTCTGCCAAAAGTTGGTGGGTAACAGGAGTAGGAGTAGGTGGGTAATAGAGTTTAGGTATATTTCTAGATCTAATCGATAGACGCAACGTGAGTTGTCTACTTTATTTCCAGTTTTTTCCGCTCATAGACATTGTCTCTTCAATCGATTTGGAGGTAAACAAAAACGGGATCCTAGCCATAATAATAAAAGTTTCCAAGCTTACGGCGTTTGCTACTTTCCATAACCTCCTTCGGCGTGACACTAGCGATGGGGAAAAGTAATGGCAGGGATTGATCAGTATAAACACGGAATTTGAACAAATATAATATGACAAAACGGTAAAATACGAATTGTTTGATTTTACGATTTACGATTTATGATTTATAGTTGAATACGTTAATCATTATTTGTTCTTGTTGTGTTCTCTGTTGTATTCTCTTAATAACGGAAGGATAGCTTATAAAATTCTATTCCTACAACTATATAAGGTCATTTTATCTTTTTTTAATAGCATGTTCGGTTTCTTAATCAACATCAATTTCGATTATTCAATGATTAAATCAACTGAAGATAGAAAAAGATATAAATGAAATAATTTTAGCAACATTTTTTTTCACTGATTGTGAGAAGTTTTAACTTACCTTTTAAAATTTAAGATAATTCCTTAAAATTTTATTTAATATACATATCAAATATATAAATTTATATGTATAACATCTAATATACATTTATTAAAATGCAAAATATTTAATAGTCTACATATAAATATTCTAAATGATAGAAACATCGAATAGCTTTTATTGAACTAATTGTAAGAATATCGTTACAATAATTTGATGGTTGATATAGATGCTAATAGCATAAAAATATTAATTTAATTTTCTTTTTAATCGAATAACCACAATTTAAAAACAGTAACTGCTAAAAAAAATAATATTACTTATATTTGGCTTGAACTCAACATAAATGAATTTATTTAATAACTATTATTTCAAATAACAAATGGTGTTTTTTCGATATACAGGATTTCTTTTTGATATACTTGATATATAAGATTTCTCTGAAGTCCGACTCTAAAGTTGAATGTTGGAAATACATTTAAATATGAAAAAATGTAGCAACAATTTGATCTTAGATGGTTATTTGAAGGTCACGTGAATGTCATCTTCAGTTTCTCAAATAGAATACCCCATTTTTGATTGCATATTCTTGCAGCTCTTGTCAAGCTGTTTTGAAGACAATACATACGATTGTTTCTTATATAAATCATTCCTAAGATATGAAGCTTCAAACCTGATACATAAATGATGTAAATTTGATCATGTATGATACACTTTGGATAATATGAATGCCAACGATATGTCAAGTTTAAAGCTTCATATCTTGGAAATGACTTGTATACAAAAATAGGTAATATTTTGAAAGCGTTTCGACAAGGGCTACAAAAATATGCAATAAAAAATGAGGTGTTGTATTTAAGAAATTAAAAGTAACGTTTACGTAACTTTCAAACGATCACCCAAGGTCAAATTACCACCATCTTGTCACACTTAATAATCTTACAACTTTTGTCTGAAACATATTTCCATAGTTAAAGCCGTTTCCAAAATATAAAGATGAGGACAGACTTTAGAGGGATCCTGTATTCTACAATAGAAGGCAGGTACGGATATACGAGTACATACATGTATGTGCATGTTAAGCTTTCTACGATTTGCGCCTCTGTTAGTAGTTGGATGAAAATATTTTCTTAAATTTAAGTGAACTTGGTCGGACCTGGATTTTTATCATTTTATACATTTTTTGAAATGTACTATTTTTGCCGTTATGTAATCATATTGTAAACACGAATAGTTATTATTTAAAAAAATTAGTTCTTGAAATGTCCAAATCTGTAATTATAATCAAATCATTGCAATTGTATTATATACTAGATGATACTAAAAATTCAACGTTTAAAATATTGCATTTTGTTCTGTATGCTGAGAAATGGGTCTGCTTAAAATTTTATTATGTTTCATAATACTTTGAAGATTGCTACTCTCTTAGTAATGTTTCGAATGACGAATCCATATGTACTAGTTTCTCGATACATTTAAAAATTGGATTACCATCAAATTAGATACTAGAAACGAAGAACGAAAAGAGTATTTATAATTTATTAGTCAAGCAGTATTCACAAGAGTATCCTCATATGAAGAAATCGACTTCATTATCTTTATAATATTATTTAAAAAATAAATTTGTATAGATATAAAGTGACTATTATTAAACATGTTAGAAAA